GAGCACTGAATTTTAAGTTAGACTTTTTTTGCCTCTGCCTTCCCCCAAGTGCTGGGTCTAAAGGTGTGTGCCATCATGCCTGGCTTTAAGTTAGTCTTCTATTGATCTGTTCATGTGGCGTGGAAAACGGACCACTGTTTTCAAAAATTCTTTTTTGCCAAATCTGCGTTAGTGACTGTCTTGAACATAAGCCCTGAACCCCTACTAAATTGCTTTACTTCTAACTCAGAAACTTTTTTTTTCTCCAGTGCTGGGAGTTGAACCAAGGCCTCCAACCATGCATACAAGGGCTCTACCAAGCACAGCCCCTTTGAAGGGCTCTTTTTCCACAAGGCTCTTTGGGTGAAATAATGAACTCAGGACCATGCTACAGCCTTGTGGATGAGCTCCAAGGCTGTTTTGCAAATGAACAAACACAGACACAGACAGGTCAGGTAAACTGTTCTGGGTCACAAAGCTACTGAGCGTGCAGTTGGGATCTGAACCAAACAGCCCAAGTCCAGAGTTTGTGCCCTGCTGGACAGCTCTCCTGTGCCAACTCTACTGCTGGCAAGATTTCAGTAAACCCTGGGAAGGATGCTCCACACTCCTCTTTCTGTTCCCTAGTCTCTAGGTCCAAATGTAGCACAGCAAGGATCTGCTTGCTCCAAGCAAAATTCCAAGGATTTCAGTCCAGGCAGAACCTGTCCTTAGAACAAGTGCCTGAAACGGGAAGACAGCAGGTAGGACCACACTCTGCAAGAATCTGCTTAGAGAAGCAGGGCTTCTAACGGATTCCTCTAAGGAGGCAAGAGACCCTGTGAAGGACCATTGTAAAAGGCCATGACCATATGCATGGGTATGTGTGTTTGAAAAAAATCTCAGGTTTCAGGTTAGAAAAAGAACTCAAGTACAGAGACTGTCTAGAAAATGTGGAGTTGTATAGCAAAGACGAGAGTGCGGGGAAGGTACAGAGGTATACTGTTTCCTTTACTTCAGTACTACTCAGGAGAAATTATGCTGTTTTTGTAGACAGAGCCTCATATAACCTAGTCTGGTCTTGAATTCCCTTGAAGCAGAGGATAGCCCCAAACTCCTGATCCCACTGCCTCCCTGTGCTGGAATTACAGGTAAGCACCACCATTCCTGGTGCTTTAAAAGGTTTAAGTGGACATCACTGAGTAGCAATATTGTATTTCATAACTTTATACCTTACTTAGTTGCTAGGACCGGAGAAAAACACATTTTGGCATCTGGAAGGCCTCTGAGGTCCGCTGACACCCACAGAAGCTGAGAAGAGAAGGCTCTGCAGTGAGGTCACCCTCCTTATTGCAGCACATAGGGGAGTCAAGTTCTTTTATTCAGATTTGCTTACCTTGTAGATAGACTAGGGCTTAAGTCTACTATTTTGCTCTTTTTTATGTGTGTGTGTGTGTGTGTCTGTGTGTTTGTGTACCTACCTGTATAGGCCAGAAGACAGCATTGGATCCCCTGGAGTTGCAGCTACTGGCAGTTGTGAGCTGCCTGATTTGGGTACTGGGAACTGAATCCAGGTCCTCTGCAATAACAGCAAGTGCTCTTAACTGCGGAGCCATCTTTCCAGCACCAAGGAAGAGAAATACGGAATACTTTAACTTGGCCAACTACTGATACCAGCCTCCCAAGGAGCATAGCAGGCTATACTAGGGAGCTAACAGTTTTTTTCATGTTAGATAGAGTAGAAGAAACTCTAATTTTTAAAGATAGGGTATTACTATGCAGCCCTGGATGGCCTGGAACTCCTGATACAGCTCTGAAACTTGTAGTGTTCCTCCTGCCTCTGTCTCTTAGTGTTGGACCTATGAGTGTGAAAAGCCTTGACTGGGAGCTGAACCTTAACCTACAATCCCATGTCTGTCCTATAGATTAGGGGTCTGTGAAATCTGTAATGAAAACAGTTTGGGGCTGGACAAATGGCTCAGCAGTGAAGACCACTGACTGCTCTTGCAGAGGACCTGGGTTCTGTTCCCAGCACCCACATGATGGCAGCTAACAAGTGTCTGTAACTCCAGTTCCAGGGGGATTTGGTGCCGTCTTCTGGCCTCCATGGGCATTGCACAAATGTGGTGCACTTACACTTGGGCAAAACATTTGTACACATTAAAAAAAACAAAAACAGCTGGGAGTGGTGGTGCACGCCTTTAATCCTAGCAATTGGGAGACAGAGGCAGGCAGATCTCTGAGTTCAAGGGAACTCCAGCTGGGGCTACAGGGAGACCCTGTCTCAAAAAGACAAAAAACAAACAAACAAACAAACAAAAAAAAAACCAAAAGAAAAAAACCCAAAACCCAAAAACAGTTCCATGGCTATGAAGTTTGGAAACCACTAGATGGCAGTTTCCAGATTCTCTTGTGACTGTAATACACCTGAACAAAGATGGATTACAAACTAAAGCAGATCCCTCCTAATCAGGTTAAGGCAACACCCCAGCTCTGGACAGTTTAAGAGCTGAAAATAACCAAGACTCCCCTGGCCTGTGAACCTGAACAGCTGAGTGTGGAAGGAGCTAAACCGGGAAAGGGCAGAGGTAACCGAGGAGTCCAATGCAGGATTTGACACTGGAGACGGCAGATCTAAGTTTAAACCAGGCAGGTTTCCACCACAGGGCTCCAGGGAGGGTGTGGGCCATCAGGAAGGCATGTTTTGGATTAAGCCACACCCTCAAGAGTAGGTTCCCCTTCTAGGCTCCAACATTTTGTTTCAGTCTGAGGTAAATACAAGGTCCCTGGACTTTTCAAAACATGCCAACCCTACGGACTCTGCTTCTAGTGCTTTCTTCTATCAGACACACTAACCATACTGCTGTACTTTGAAGCTCTCGAGGCCTGCAGGTTCCACTATGCAGGTTGCCTCGGGCATGTGATTTTCAAAGAATGGAACCAGAGGCAGGGCTAGTAGAGTGGTCAAATGAAATGCCAGGCATCAAAGGCCACAATGTTCGAGAATTGAAGCTCTGTCTGTCACAGGCCTCTCACTAAGTGATGGGAGGAGGCTTCACAGTCAGGGGTAAGCCCTAACTCAGATCACTCACTGGCTGTCAGTCTGTCAGGTACTTGGCCTCTGAACCACTTCTAATATGAAGAACAGTCTTTGGCATCTACCTGCTTCATTGGTTGCTGTGGGAACAAAGTGAGACCCAGCAGACAAAGTGCTAGGCAGTACTGGTTTAAGGCAGCCAGTAGCTGCCATAACCGTCTAGAATGGGAGGGGGAGGTGTTATCCTGTAGCCAGTTGCTGGTTAATTTTTAAAATTTATTTTTGAGATAAGGTCTCCCTGTAGCCCCAGCTGGCCTGGAACTATGTAGACCAGGCTGGTCTTGAACTCAACAGAGACCACCTGCCTCTGCCTCCCAAGTGTTGGGATTAAAGGCATGTACTACCACACCTGGCTTAAAATTTTTTTTTAAATTTACTTTATGAGTGTTTTGCCTGCATGTATATAAGTGTACCGTGTGCAAGCAATGCCCATGGAGGCCAGAGAAGAGAGCACTGGGTCCCTGAACTGGGGTTACAGGTGGTTGTTAGCAGCCATGTAGATGTTGGAAATGGAACCTACATCCTCTGCAAGAGCAGCCAGTGCTCTTCTTAGCCCCTGAACCATCTCTCCAGCCCACTTCTTTGCTGTGTAGTTAAGGAAGACCTGGAACGTCTGGTTCTCTCGCCTCCAACTCTAAGTGCTGAGATTACAGTGTGTCCCACCATGCCTGGCATGTGTCTGCCCTCCCTGCACTGGTACTGGGGACTGACTATAGGACTCTATTTCTAACCTTTACTTCCTGCCTGGGATATTCCAAAATACTACAGGTTCTGGCTTTGTTAGTCCTTTTACTTAATATCACATAAAAACTTCATACTCAGGGCTGGAGAGATGGCTCAGCGGTTAAGAACACTGGCTGTTCTTGCAGAAGACCCAGGTTCGAATCCCAGCACCCACATGGCAGCTAACAACTGTCCGTAACCCCAGTTCCAGGGGATCTGACAGCCTCTTCTGTCTTCCGTGGGCATTGCACGACATGGGTGTACTTAACCTACATGCAGGCAATACACGTGTACACATAATATAAAAATAATCAAGTATTAAAGAACAAAACCCCTTCATACTCACTTTTTTCCAGGTCTGCCTAAAAACCGAGGCCTAAATTTCTTACTTTGGCATACAGGCCCATTCCCAATCAGAACTGAAACCACTGTCCAAGCCAGGTGTGATAGCTCATGCCTATGATGATTCCACACTCAGGAGACAGGCAGGGGCAACACTGGCCACCCTGGTCTACAAACTGAGTTCCAGATTAGTCTAGGCCAACAGTGAGATCCTGTCTCAAACAACACAATCAACCTGACTTTTGCTGGCTCTTACTACAGTCAACCCTCCAATTTCAATGATTTTCTTTCTGGAGTCCTTCAAATCTTCACCATGCTCTTCTCTCACTCAAGCACACACATTTTCTTCTTTATAAAATCTTACCATCCTCCAGAGACTTAGCTAAAACGTAACCGCTTCTCCTTTCTGAGCCTGGTTTTGCTATGTAGCCCAGGCTCGCTGGAATGGTGGCTCCTGCTTTCATCTTCTGAGTACTGAACACAGCCTTGTGCTGGTAAATGTCTGGTAAAATGCTCTTTGTAACGAAGCCCACTCCAGTTTCCTAAAATTGTCTTTTCTTCCTCAGGCCCCACCGTGTAGGATTTAACAACACCCCACAAAACATTGTGCCTACGTTCCGCCTCTCCCAACACCCTTATTGCTGTTACTCAGAGTAACTGTGGTAATGACACATTTGAAAAGCACTTTGTGAAAATGTAGAATGTAGAATGATACGGCCCCTCTTTCCTTTCACCTATGATCTGCTGTACCCATTCTATTAAAGATAAACAGCTTGTAATACGGCTTAAAAAGAGCAGGCGGGCCTTGAGGCAGCACACCTAAATGTGCTAATTTTACAAGAGAAACCGCGAGCTGTGCTCCAGGTAAAAGACTGTCTGAAAAAACTTTTACTTTCTGCATCACGTTGAATACAAGCACCTGAAGTTGTCTGGAGGCAAGTAAGGCATGGGTTCCAGAAACAACAAGACTATCATTTGTACTGTTTGGCATTTAGGCTTCGCACGCACTATGCAGGGATTATCAATTCGCCAAGGACAGTAACCGTCAAGATACTGAGAAAAGCAGGTATGAGAAACATCTTTTATTTCTTCTAAAGGTGAAAATAAGTAAGATTTCTTATATTTCTCACTTGTAAGATTTTTAAACTCTTAAAAATGCAATTTCTTCTTTTCAAAGCACATGCCATCTTTAAAAAAAATCTTAGCAATATACATTTGCACTCAAAGAAACACATGCAGCGCCATTGTCTTTCTGACAAAAATCTGCATTACAGCCCCACGCGGCTTCCCGCAGATACATCTCCCTTATCGAGGGACTCCAAACCATAAACATTCAGTGCGATTATTTCCGTAGGAAACACAGGACCAATGATGTCGTCTGACAACTGTTTCCTGATGGCTGAGCAGCAGTCTCCCTCTGCTCTACTGTAAAGTCCTCTTTAACTGGCTGATGGAAGATTCAACTACAACTCAGTAAAATTTGAGGCTTCAAGTGGGGGATGAAGAAGGAATACTTAGGGTCTACCCTGTGCCATACACATAGGAAAAAAATTTACACAGAAACAAAACAACGAAACTACCCTCAGATCTTATCAATGCACCTTTTAAGAAAGTTATTTTTCCTTTTAATTTTTGAGAGCAGCTTAATGTGAATGAAAAGCAGTTCCTGAGTAACTGCAGTAAACAGTCTTAAATACATATATATGCACACATACATATATATTTGCAACAGAGCTCATTTTGGTTCTGCCTTAATTTACCTCCCCAGCATTAGTTGAACCCCTTCCTTCCTTCCCTCCATTTCCCAATGTGCAAGTACAATAGCATCAGCTCTGGGAGGCGGCGTGCTGCAGATGTTTCCCCTTGTGTGAGCACCTGCGCTTCAGCCCAGGTTTCCAGAGTCTCTGCAGGTCACCATTTTCACAATCTCACAAACCTGTGAGCATCGCAGGCACCTCACGTCTTCTTCATCAGGCGCCGTGACTGCCAAGAATGCAGTTTGTTGTAGGCGGTCTGCAGCATCTCTTCTATGTGACTAACCAACTGAAACACACAGGAGACACGTCAGTCAGCAGTGGTGAAGTAAGCGTCGAACCCAAACCTGGCACAGGCTTTCCAGCACATCTCACAGCACATCGGTGTTTCTCCAGTCAATGAAATACAAGCAAAGGTATAAGCACACTGTGTGTGGAAAAGACAGTGGTGGGCACAGTGCAGGGGTTGGAAATTCACTTACTAATTTCTAGATCTACAAATTGGTTGGTTGGCTTGGTGTGGTGGTACATACCTTTAATCCCAGCACTTAGGAGGCAGAGACAGGCCAATCTCTGTGAGTTCAGGATAGATGGGGCTATGGGGAGACTTTGTCTCAAAAAGACCAAAAATAAAAATAAAAAAATGGCTGGTTGAGGAAGGCCAGAATGGCAGTGGCATTTTCTTGAGACAGACTGAATAGCTCAGGCTGTCCTAGAACTCACTAATGTAGCCCACACCTGACTCGACATTTATCTTTATAGATCACTTGAAGAACGCCTTACTCCCTTAAGAGTTCTACCCTCATGGGTCTAACCAGAAGTCAAGGTAACACACTAACTCTTCAGTTTAGAATGTCTTGGGAATGTTTCCTTAGAGGTAGAGATAGTGCTTGTGCACTGGAAGTAGGAGGATGGGAACGGAGATCGGAAGTCCTAAATTCTTTTAGCATGCCAGTGACTCTGATCTAAAACAGAATTAAAAGAAAAAAAAGTATCTCCCCCTTCCCCCCAGCTGGAATTGTAACAAAGTGGTGGAGCACTTGCCTAGAATGTGTAAGTCGCAAGGTCAAACCCTCAGCACTCTCTACCCCTATCAATACTGGGGGAGGAGGGCATGCTATTTAGCTGGGCCTGGAAACTGTAAAAAGTACTTATTCTGCTTGACATGGAGCAATGGCTTTACGGTACAAGTTGAATGAACACCACACCCTAACGTAAGGCTGTACATGACCTCAGACGACTTCTCCACACAATGCTCCAGGCAGCTATAATCAACTAAGGTGGCACACCAGGACTGAAAACTTGTTTGGCGTTCTTGGCCTGTTGTGTTGGCTTACTTTTAAAAATCTTTTTCTTGGGCGGGTCTTTTTGAGACAGGGTCTCTGTGTAGCCCCAGCTGGCCTGGAATTTGCTATGTAGACCAGGCTGGCCTTGAACTCACAGATTCATGGCTTCTGCCTCCCGAGTGCTGGGATTAAAGGAGTGCACCACCGGGCCCAGCTACTTATAAAAATCTTAAAATGAAGGGGGCTGGAGAGATGGCTCAGCGGTTAAGAGCACTGACTGCTCTTGCAGAGGACCCAGGTTCGATCCCCAGCACCCACATGGCGACTACAAACCGTCCTTAACTCTAGTCCAGGGGAATCCCAAGCCCTCCTCTGACCCCCGTGGCATTGTACAACACGGGTGCATTCACACACATGCAGGCAATACACTCAAACACATTAAAAAACAAAACAAAACAAAAACCCTCTTAAATGAAGAAAAGCTGGAAACATCCCCTTTTCCTGGTTAGCCCAGTTGTGAAATACTAAGTCTTATTTATGTTGGTATATACTATTTCTCACCAAGGAATTACCTCTGGAAGGGCTATTTTGTGGTGGCTTAGCTTACAGCGAGCACTCTTCTCACTTGCCTTCCCACTCACCTCCCTGCTGTAGATCATCAGTCAGAACCAGCTCAGCTTACTGCCAGAAGCAATTCACCTTTCCTTATGCTATGTTTGTCAGCGCTACTCAGTTTTTCCAAACTGGTAAAACATATTTTTAGGAACATATACATAGGCAGTAAATCTATCCAAAAAACCTAAGGAGGGCTGGTGAGACGCCGCAGTGGATAAAGGCACTTGTTCCCAAGCCTGACAAGTAGAGCTCGATCCCTGGGTCCCATGTGGTGGAGGAACTGCAACTTGCCCTCTGACCATGGCACAGGCACACCCACACACAGTGGAATAAAAAGAGAAAACACGGGATGACTCCCACAAACTAGTAGGAGGTCCCAGTGTGCAACTGGATAGGCACTTGGCATGTGCCAGCTGCGGCACTGTCCCAGAGGCTTCACTAGCACGTTGTACTCTTCTGATGCATTTTAAAATAAAAACAGTATACTGAGCAAAAAACAGAACAGAGGAAGAAAATGAGGCCTTACATTTGTGCTTAAATACTGTCTCCGAATTTTTTCCTGGAATGGGCAGAGCTTCGTAACTTGGAACCGTTCCAAATTACTCTTCATTTTCACTACCTAAAAAAGATGAGAAACAATGAATTACTTTTCTGTGATAGTCTACTGCTCAGCAAACAGTCACAGTTCATATTTAGCTATGTGTGCACAGAGATAGGGTCTCCCTGTAGCCCCAGCTGTCCTGGATTCACGATGGAGACCAGACTGGCCTCAAACTCAGAGATCTGCCTACGTCTGCCTCCCGAGTGCTGGGTGTTGGGAAAAAAAAATGAAATACCTTGATGAATGCTGTAAGAACTCTGCATTTTGATAGAAAACTCTGTTTAAAATGTTGATTTAGATTTACTTGCTAAGCTTGCCTGTTCTGCCTGATTTGTATCTACCACACATGGATGATTAACCTAGTTGAAATGCTAAGAATTGAAGTGCTGTAAACCTCCTTCCTGGACCCTGGACCCCAGACTCAGTTGATTTACAATGTGTCCTGTAGGCCTGTTTGCACATACCAGATAACCGATAAGGAACAAAGAGAAGGAAGTTGCACCAGGCTTACACCAGATCTAGCCTTCCTGGAAAAGATGTTTAACC